TCGAACGCTAACTCACATTCGAACACCTACTTGAATTGATTGAAGACTAGACCACTGAGACATGACGTGTTGCAGCTAAGAAGGAAGACTCTGAGGTACTTGAGTACCACGTTCAAACGCCAACTCACGTTTGAACATCCACTTGAATTGATGAAGATCAGACTAATAAGTGCAAAATGCCAAGATGTGCATAAAGTGTGGAAATAGGTTTCTATAGAAGACCACATGTCACTTGAGTGAGAAGGTCGGGCCCCATTTAGTGTTCGAACGCCCCATAAAGCAAAAACAGAATACACGATTGAACGCCATACAACGTTCGAATGCCCATAAAGGAAAAATAGATACAACGTTAGAAGGCCAACTCACGTTTGAACATTCTCCACAGGTAAGCTACAGAGTAGTTGGCTTTTCACTTGGACTTGGGCGGCATATACTATTCCTAAACACTCTCTTGTCTCCTTTCCCCCCTTCCTCCTTGCCTATAAATACTACCTTTGAAGGAGCTTTGAGGAGGAGAGTTCTTGTAAAAGGCTAGAACTTGGTTTGTAAGGCTTGGACTACACCAAGAACTAGTCAAGAGCTAGATGGAGGCTTAGACTCCTACTCATATACTTAGTCTTATATTTACTTGTATCAAGGGAGATAGATCATCTTTTGGTTGCGATGGAAATCCTCCAAAAGTGTCAAGCTTTCTTCTACTTTCATTTACTGTATTTTACTTCCATTGCTTGAGCTTCCTTCTTTCTTAGAGGAGTGAAACTCTTCCACTTTTTTAGAGTTTTACCAAAGCCGTGAAGGGTGGAACGTGATTCACTCATTCTTCGTTGAAGATCGGCTCCTCGCTTATTATACTTTACCTTGTAAGTTCTCTACGTTAAGAGATGAGCATCACTCACCTTTCTAGCTTTACCCAAGCCATAAAGAGTGAGTAATTCCTCATTCACTCTTTAGTAAGAGGTGATGAATATGTATAAATTATTCGGAAGTTATATTTGTGCATTTCCTTTATACTTTAATGCTTTATATTTCACTTGCTTAGTGAATGATTGAATGCATCTAGTAAAGTTAAGGTACTTTGTATAACTGTGGGTTCTCTCTATGTTACGGATGATTCTTGCATAGAAAGACCCGTTGGTTCAAGGCAAGTACCTCGGCTAGATTTTCATGAAAATATTTTAATATTTTCCATTATTGTGCTTTATCTAAAGAATGGAACATTAATGTCATGGTTGGAGGCCTTGTAGAAATACTTGCTTGTTTGTAGACGGGTTAAGTCTCGGCACAGACAATTCTTGTAAATTTCTAGAAAAATATCAGAACCATGTGTTTAATTCTCACAGCCCATATTTATCTTCTGATTAACTTGTTATTGACACGGGAGTTAATTGCGTTTTAAAGCACAAATATAATAAATCATATGATTAACTACATGTTCTGATTCTCAAATTAAAGTGTGACTGTTTACATTTGAATTTATCTTATATTTTGTTTAGAAAACTCTTGGAAAGAATCTTATATTCTATTCAGGAAATTTCATAACTTCAAACTTTCAAGGTTTCCAGTTACTTGATCTTTATCACTACTATTTCAAAACACTAATCGTAGTTCCCTGTGGATTCGACTTTGGATTTAACCGAATTAAACTATAATTTAACCGCCTACACTTTGGTGTACACATATCGGATCAAGTTAGAGGAGCGAGGATCTCGCCTCAGATCAAGATAGACCTAAGAATAACTATAATTATGAGGCAAAACCCTCAAAAATCAGGACGAGCCATTGTAGCCACATTTAAAAGACTTCTGTAAATTTTTCAGTAATCAATATATTTAGGAGTAAGAGACTCTCTTGAGAGTGAATTAGTCGAGCTCTCGAATTGGTGAATTACTATAAATACTCTATATAATCACCCAACTATCCTCAAATCCTATTTCCTAGAGTTTTGGAGCTCAGATTAAACTACATCTAACAGTACAATACACTTTTTATTCACATCATTACTCAACCATGTTAAAAAAATCATCAAATATAATATTTACATCAACTTTGATTTTATAAGGTCTATTCTTAAAATCACGCGAACAACAATATTTAATGTCAGAAATCAATTGAGAAAAAAATCATATCCAGTGAAAGCCACGTTGGTATCGGTGTATGTTCCAAACATGAGTGACGACTTCGACTCTCAGCCACCCATGCATTTCCCATTTCATATAAAAATAATTTGATGGTTTGCATATTATTACCCATCAACCCGCATGCAACCGACTAAAAATACAAGAAAAAATCATTAATAATTATTACCTTTTTTCACAAAAATTTATTAAGTCTTATTATTTTTATTTTATTTCAACGAAGTCCTATTTTTAATATTTTATTTTAATTAAGTCCTAAGTTCTATTATATTTTAATTTTATCCTTACATTTTAGTTATCAAAATCATTTTATTTTATTTTTTTGTATTCTTAAAACCAATTAAGAAGTCAAAAATTCCTTACTAACAAAATTACCACCAATAAAAAAAATTCAGCTAACATAAATTTTATGTTATGACCCAAAAAAAGCCCATATTTTCTTATTTTCTTATCTCACTAGGGTACCTAATATTAAAACTCGAGATAATATTTACCAATTATTTAATAAAATAAGAAAGGTTAAAAAAAATTAGATCAATAATATTTATTGATTAATTCCATTTTAAAGTCGTTATCCATTCAAACACAACTAAAATAAATCATTAACTTAATCATTTTAAATCCAATATAAATTAATAGAATATTATTTTGGTAAGAATTAACTTAAATTAATATTGATGTAGAATCTGTAATATTATATTAATTGATTCTAAGAATATAAAAGAATGGAAGAGTTTTGGTGGTTAAAGGGTAGGGATAAAATTGGAATTAGGACTTAATTAAAATAAAATATTAAAAATAAGACTTTATTGATTTAAAACAAAAATAATTGACTTAATGAATATTTTTAGGAAAAAATAATACTTATTGGTAATTTTCCAAAATACAATATATTACATCATGCCACGAGTGTTTCGTAATGCAATTGTTCAATAAAATATTAATAAAATAAAATAAAATATTTTCTTTGCATAGAGATGATAATATATTTCATATATTAGTGGTTAATAAATTTTATGGGGAGAAATATTATTACGACCTAAAAAATTGATTTAATTTATTAACTTAACAATGTGACAATGATTTAATCTAATAATGTTGCTGTGACTATAATTCTTAAACTTATTCATTAGAACCTATGAAGCACGGATACTCTGTTGATGTTGATGTATCTATATTAGATAACGTATCGGATACGATACTCGTCGGATACTTGAGGATATGTATCAGATACACCTTCTACGTATCCAGTAATAATTAAATATTAGAATACTTCATCGATACTTTTGTAGTTGAGCAACATATATAATTTTTTAGTGGAACTTTTAATATCTCTTTTCGAATTCACATATCATACTATACATTAACAAAAAATTTATATTACTTTAAAGACACAAATATTTTTTAAGTATTATCTACAATCAAATGTCAAAAGAGCATAAAATAAAGCTATTACATTATAATCTTAGCAAAAATTACTTCTAAATACTAGGTAAATATAAGTTTTAATTCGTTTAATTAGTCACTTCACTTTATGAATATACCACAACGACACAAATATATATTTTCTTGAAACTAAAAAGAATTATTAAATTTCCTTATTATATGTTAAAGAACTACCAAAATATATAAGTATTAAGTTGGTTGAAAATAATAAAAATATTAAATATATTTTATTATAGTCGTATCTTGGCCGTACCCGTATCCTACTTTTTTAGATTTTATTGTATCGCCGTATCCGTATCATATCTTACCCGTATTTCGTATCCGTATCCATGTTTCATAGATTATAACTCTATTATTTGACAAACACACCCCAACAAATTATGTTAAAATTTTAGATCCCGCATTCACTTGTCTATTAAACATTTATATTTAAAAATTTGACATAATTTATTAATATAATGATGTAATAGTGATATAGGTCAATAAAATTATTGAGATGGATGAACTTTTTCATTAAAATTTTATCATTTGACATGTTATCAAGTGATAAATTAAATTAATTTTTTATGTCCCAATAGCATTTCTGTACATGTATGTCATGTTTTGATCTTACATTTAGTAATTGACGCTTTAATCACATTGAAAATCTGCAAAACATTAACCATTAGTCTTCACGGTTTACTTTCCGTTCACAGATTTTAAATCAGGAGTTGACTACAATGTCGAAAATTTTTTCATATCATATTTTTATTTATTATATTTGTAATTATTTTTATCATATTTGTAATTGATTTTACCATTCCTGTAGTATCTGAAAAAATGATAAAAATAGTTTTTGCAACACTGATAAAAACTTTCATAAATGTGATAAAAAAAACACTTACAAATGTAATAAATCATTTATAAAAAGAGTAATTTTTTTGTACCAAAGAAAAGTAATAAAATAGTTATCACAAATATAATAAAAATACCTATAATACTGATAAAAATACTCACAAAAGTAATAAATTATCCACAAAAATAATAATATTTTTTGTTATAAAATGACCAATAAAAAATATAAAAATACACATTAAAATAGTAAAAATTAGAGATGTGATGGATACCGTAGTTAAAAAAAAGACATTTTTCTGCATTAAATATAAAAATAAAAATAAAAAGACATTTTTCTGGCCTTTTTGCCTTTTTAATATACCTTTCCGAAAATCTGAACTATGGCGTGATGTTACCTGTCTATAAATGAAGCAATATTCCGAAAATCTGTTTCAGATTTCCTTGGTTATAATTGGAAGAATTAATTTTACGCTTTTTACTCCTATATGATTGTAGTCTGGAAATTACGTGACCAACTCAGGAACTCTATAATAAACCAAGTAGCCAGGAATTTCAGAAGCAGTTCAGTTGCCAATATTTAGTTCCATTTTTTGTTTTTCTGTTTCATTTCTCCAAGATAGAATGGATACGCCTACTGCAATAAAAGCTTTTCAGTACAACTCCACTCAGCAACCCATCTTTACCGTAATGGAAACTCCCCTTCATTACAGATCCTTTGCACAAAAGAGCAGCCCAAGTGATGCTTCTTTCTCTTCCTATCTGAGACCTGAAGAACTCAAACCAGCCTCCCAAGAAGATGTTGGGTGCACTGTCGACGACCCTGAATTGAGCATTTTCGAAGCCCAGAAGTACTTCAACGAAAACAATGACACGAAAGAATGCCGGAATCCGAATCTCCCTCCAGCAATTAATGGTGGGAATCTTGAATATGAGAGATGTGATCTCTCCAAAGTTCCCCGACTGTCTTCAGTTTCCTCCGTAGATGGATACAACAGGAATTATAGAGTTCGCTCTTTCCATGCCACTCCTACTGCTTCATCAGAAGCCAGTTGGAATAGCCAGACTGGTCTGCTATCAAATCCTCCAGGCTCAATTGCAGTGTCCTTGAGAAATATTTCTTCTTCTTATCATGAGAAAAAGAAAGAATCTAAAGCTAGAAAATGGTTTTTCTGTCGAAAATGTCCTTGTTCTGGCAAGAAATCAGTGCAAGTTGACGAATCACCCCCAGAACCCAGAACACCAGTGGATTTCCACAGTAACAATTCTAAAGCCACTTTGTATGGGCAAAGTCAGAGCCCCAAAAAGATGGAAGAAAAAGCATCAATTCAGTCCAAGAAAAACACAGTCACAAACGACTTAGTGGAAAGACATGAGAAAGTGAGCATCAATTCCCAGAGATTCTCATCTGAGAATCATTTCTCATCAAACACTCCTTGCCACCAACGGATAGTGGGGTCAGGAAGGTCATTTAACGACGGTAATGGGGGCTTCTCCTTCCCCATTTTGAACGCATCATCACCTGTTAAGCTAGTACTCAAGGGCTTACCGCCACAACCCACCAGCTCCTTGGACGACCCGCCCCGTGAATCTTTGGAGGTTTTCCAGCCATTAGACGAGTTGATTCCGAGGAAATCTATTGAAGTTCAGAAGCGTATAGCCAATACCAATGGTGACGGAGACCATCGGGGCTTCTCATTTCCCGGCAGCCCGATATCGCGTGTCACGGCCACAGAGGATGATGTTGCCAGCGATGCAAGCTCGGACTTATTCGAGATAGAGAGCTTCTCTACTCAGACAATGTCGTACCCAATCCCGATGTATCGCCGGCGAGATTCGCTAGATGAAGCTCCAACTTTTAATGCAAGAAGATTAGCAACAAGCAATGAGATCGGCACCTTGTACGGTCGCCGGAGTTTGGATGAGCCCATGACCCCATCTATGGCGACCACAGAATGCTATGAACCGAGCGAAGCTAGCATTGATTGGAGCGTCACAACGGCCGAGGGGTTCGACCGAGCAAGCATGACCAACTTCTCCGTAACTGCTTCTGAAATCGAAGATGTACGGATTAGTAGGCACTGTTTGGAGAAGGGTGGAGGCATGGTTTACACTCACGGCGGGCGTGGTGGTGGAAGAGGCGGTGGCGGTGAAAGTGGAAAGAGAAAAGGGAACGGGTTATTGTTGAGCTGTCGACATGAGAAGGCGGTGAGCGTGGGACCTCACCCGGTGAAATGTGTGGCGGAAGGAGAGGCAGAGGCTCCACCACCTTTCCCAGTAATTTCCACGGACGGGCATGTGAGTAGTAGGCCACCTAAGCCTAACAAGACAACTGTTACAAGGTCTCACTCTGCTCGCTTGTCTGTTGCTTTTGCGACATGAGAGGAGGAATGCCTTACTACTTGCATGTTGTCATGTCCAGCTCCAGCTGCTTCTACAAATGAGTAGATTTCCTTATATCTGCTAATCTGTGTGTGTCTGAAATCTTCTTTTGCACTATTAATTCAACTGTGTTATGTCCATCTCAAATGATCCAGTAAGGTGGTCCTTCCTTTTCTATTTATAGATGGTGATTGAATTCTAAGCAATGTTGGAATGATACAAAATGATATGGTTCCATCATACAACCACCCTTCTATTATTCAATTCATAAATTTAATGATGTTACATTTGTGTTCATTTATCACTATGAGAACCCTGCAACTTTATAGGATTTTTTTTTTCCACTTAGATAAGTACTTATATGTGAGAGAGGATGTGAATAAAAATCATTTTCGCTTGAAAGGATGTTGCATGATGAGTTAGAACCTGTACATCTATTCAACGACGGAACTATTAAGGGCCAAGAGAGTCATAGCATTACTGGCTGAAGAAATAGCTCCATTATCTAGCACGTTGTCCATCCCAAGGCAATTTCTACCTCTGGTGCTTCTAAACTTCCACTCTCATACCATACTCCCTCAAAATTATTCTCCTACGAATGAAATACCATTAGGTTATTATCCATCTTGACGTTTTTTTATTAAAATAGTTCATTAGTAAATGAGAAAAGTCTATCCATTTTTTGATACATTGATGAGGAGCTTTTGACTCATGCCATGAGATTTTTAAAAAAAATTTCCAACTAAGGCATTGTTTTAAAGTATTTTCCAAACTCAGGTCATTTTAAAAACGTGAGTTGGTATGATGTTTTTAAACCAAAAGACGTCAGTTGGTTTGACGCCTTTAGCTTAAAAATGTCAGATCAATTGATGTTTTTAAGTTGGGTTGGAGACGTTAGTCAAACTGACGCTTAAATTTTTTTTGAACTCAAATCAAATACCCAATTTTTTCCCTCCTCCCCTCTGCTTTTGCCTTTCCCCTGTTATTTCTCTTATTCCCCCGAAATTGAGCCCTAAGTCAGCCTTCTACCACCATCGGAGAACCACCAGCATAACATTGGAGAACCACCAGAGTAGCATCGAAGAACCACTAGCGCAGAAGAACACCGGAGAACCACCACCAGCAGAGACCCACCACCATCGCAGGCCCACCCACGACCACTCAGCCCAACCCACAACCACCCAGCCCCACCCAACCACTAAAGTCCCAAATCTCCATGCACCGTTAACAGCATCCAGCAGGTGAGAAATATTGATATTATTTAAGCTAGTTGTTTGATTATTTAATGAAAAATATTGAAATTATATGAAATNCAACCACCCAGCCCCACCCAACCACTAAAGTCCCAAATCTCCATGCACCGTTAACGGCATCCAGCAGGTGAGAAATATTGATATTATTTAAGCTAGTTGTGTGATTATTTAATGAAAAATATTGAAATTATATGAAATGATAGAAATACTGAAATTCATTAAAAATATCCGATATTGAATTGAGTTGATTATTGATTGAGTTGGGTATTGAGTAGATTATAGATATTGATTATTGAGTTGATTAGTGAATTGAGTATTAAATAGATTATAGATTATTGAGTTGATTATTTAATTGGGTATTGAGTAGTATATATGAAAATTTTTCAATTAGGCTGTGTGGGATAATTTGGCATTTTATTGAATCAAATTTGATAAGGTTATGAATATGAGTAAAAATGTGCATCAAATTTATCGTTGTATGTGGTTAGTTACAGTTGTGAAGGGATTGAGATACAAATGAAATAAATTTTTGTGTTTGTTTGGATAGCTTTTTTTTAATACTCACTGTGCAACTGTTTTTTGATTAGTGGAGGAGGAATGTTAATAACATAAATTTGATATCCCAAACCAGTTAGGTTTGAAGAACATTATTAAGTTCGACTCCATTAGGCTTGTGAGCAAGTGTTTTTTTGTTAGTCTAGCTGCAAGAGACTTCTTTCCATGTGAATTAAAGTTGTGAAACACATTGGTCTCTCTCTCTCTCTCTTACACACAAAAATCATCCAAATACATGTTTGAAACAACATTAAAAGGAAATGAAAACTACTGGTCAACGTAGTTTGATGTTAAGGTTTTAGAAAGGGCAAATATCAGGGTTTACATCCGAATACAAACTATTTTAGAACCCACAGTGAGGTTATATGTTGAACACTTCTAATATAACGTTGTCAAGCAAATTTGTGATAGATTATTGTACGTACGTACTGAGTCATCTGATTCTTATGGACTCACTAATTTATAATTTGTATGAAGCTGGAAACAGTTTGAATTAGCCAAAATTTTCAAGAATTTATTTATGAAAAAATTCTAACCTGACATTTGATAAAAAAAAAATAGAGGTTATTAAAATTATTTTTAATTTAAATCACCCAAACCACCACAAAAATATAAGTAAAACTATATATTTTCTCTTTCAATAGAATGCATCTCTTGATATATGAAAACTATACAATAAGAAGCCAACACATAAAGTCACAAACTAATGAAAATTATAGCACACGCAAGTCATTATCCTAACTAAAATTGACATAACCCACTTTCCTTATTGAAAAAATAAAGGTGTAACCGTGTGTTACTGGGTAGAAGTGAAGGACACTCCGGTGGCTGGAATCCATGCATCCCTGGCCAAGAAGTTCCCAATCGCATAAATTACACTCACACCCCCTGACATTTGATTTCATGACGAGGATACCCCCTCATATTTCAAAAATTATACTGAGACCCCTTAACATTTGAACACGTTTGACATCCACACCTTTTTTGTATAACAGAATTAACAATTTTATTAAAAAGAATTTATTAACCCTCATATATCCTTGAGACTTACCAATGCCAATATCCAATCTATCCAACTCACGCCTCTATTTGACTAAGTCAAAATAATTAAATTGAAAAAAAATTAATGTTTCCTGCATTCTAGTTAAGTTAATTTTACATTTTCAAATAAAATATCAATTGTACGTTTTCGATATTAAGTTAATTTTTTGGTTTTGGTCAACACAATGATCATCACCTGCCACTCCAAGTCCACCGATTCTCACCACCACCACCATCACCACTACCACCATTGATGCACTTTCTTTATTATTATTACCACCATTGATGTACTTTCTTTATTATTATTATAATTTTTTTTTGGGGGGGGGGGGTGAGGACAAAATAACATTGGAACCCGCAACCACATATAGCCAAGAGTGAGGTCAATCTCTCACCTATGTGTACCCTCTTTCTTAGGCCCCTATCTCTAAAATATGCTTCATGGGTTACCAATATAATCATAGTTCTCAAGGCAAAAAAAAAAAAGAATTATCCCAACTAAACAACAAAATGCATACCAATAGATTCTTCTCCTAGACTTTGTGCTACTATGTAAACAACTTTCAACTTTGTATGACATTTTCAACTATTGTTACAAACTCATTCATTCCTTTGTAATTCCTTTGTTAAAAACTCGTTCATACTTTTGTAACTTATGTTCTAAACTCATTCATTCATTTGTTTGAGAATTGGATCTTTGCTTTCTTGTAATTTCAGTTTACTTCAATCTCACTTGTAGTATGTACTCATTCATTCCGTCCTGAATATGTCTTATCTAATTCAGCATCTATACGATACTGAAATGTGGCTTTATCGTATTAAGCATATTCTACTTCCTTGTTAGCCTAAAAAATTGGCTTCATTGTTTGCTTGCTTAATAACATGTTTAACTTGTGATTCAATACATGATAACATGTTTAAGACGTCAAACCAATTGTTGGGACTCTGCTAGAATATTAATATGTTTTTCCTCAAGTATTACTTATTCATGTTTTTCCTCAATTGTTTCTATCCATCCCCAGGTTCTTCTAAATTCAAAACTTATTCCTCAAGGAAACCTTGTTGAAATGGCATAAAAACAAGTTACCGTTTTGCTATATTGGGGTGGACAGATGAGTTATGACTCAAAGGATTTATCATACAGTTGTCCTCCCAAAGGTGGTATTGTTATCAATAGTAGTACACAACTACTGGAGTTATTGACTAAAATTTATACTGTAATGGGTTTGGACAGGACGCATACCAAGTTGAAGTTGACTTGTAGATATCCTTTTACACTTGGAATAGGACCAAACATGAATACATATGTAGGTCTAGAAATTTTCAATGATGAACTAGTGACTTTTGTGGTTAATGTGGTACTTGACAACCCCAGCATTGCTAGTGTTGCTTTGTACGTGGAGACGGAGTACATAAATGCTGGCATAGGAAGTAGTCAGACCAGAGGGTGCATAACAACAAATGTCATGTCTTACACTAAGTTGCTTAGGCAAGAGATGGGTTCATTGACATTTTTAACTTCCGGTATGACGGGTGAATGTTCAAATCCAATGGGGATGCAGGTAATGGATGAGTCTGTGCAGTACTTTTACACACAACAAAGCACTGAAACCGCGACATACGGTGGAAACTCAGCCAACAATTTATTTAGTCAGAATTTTGAAATGGGCGAAGCAGGAATTGAGTTGGGTGATAAATATGATGTCCATCAATCAATAATTCAACAAATGCCTAAGCCTTTGAAATAAGAATGATGAAGACTTTGAGGCTGCGCAAGTGGTGGAGGTGCATAAGCCTTGCTCTTCCTCATTCACCACCATTGAATTTGGTCAGTATACTGAAGCAGATAGCTTAGTACCATTAGTTGAACAACATTTGTGGGATCCGATGAAGATGGAGTTGGCAAAGGGCATGGTTTTTCAGGACAAAGTTTCATTGATTAGGGCTGTTAAATGGTATTCAATCAAGTTGAATCATGATTTTATGGTGATAGATACGAACACAAAGGTGTGGGTAGTACAGTGCATCATGTACATGCAGCCTAACTGCACCTAGAGACTGCGTGCTTGTTTTAAGAAAAAACTAAAAATGTTTCAGATCACGATATATGATGGACCATATGCTTGTTTCTACCCCAGGATGAGTCGTGCT